ATATTAGGATGATATTTCAACCTCCATACACCACCTCCTAAATTTAGGGACTTCTCGTCCACAGGTTTCATCATTGATCTCATGTCCCAAACTCTGAGAAATTCATCATAGCTTCCAGTGAGTAGCATATTCTCCTCCAATGGGTTCTGAGCAATGCAACATACACCCATAGTATGAGTCTTCTTATTCCGAAACACAGCATTCGATGGGCTTTCCCGCAAATCCCAGCAACCGAAAGAGCAGTCATCCGATCCACTGTACAACAAGTGTGGTCTTGCACGATCGAAATAACATGTCCAAACTTCATACTGATGAGCAGTCCATTGTTCTGATACCTCCAGGCGGTCCTCTCTCATGGGAACCACAGACAGTGAACCATCTGATAATGCAACGGCAAGGGAATCGGCATTTTGGTTCCAGTCCACATACAAGCACATTGATGAAGAAATGTTTCCAGCAACCACGTCTGTGAGAACAACACCTGTGTAATTTGGTCATACAAAGCACTTGTATCAGCCCTCAGGATGTACTTTTAGACATGATCAAGATATTACATATATGAAATGTTTGTTATACTTTACAACTATACATCAGTTCCCGGCATCAGTGTGGAATTCACAAGGCTAACTTTTTAATCGAACAACGATATTATGAAAAATATGAGCAATGCATTTCAGGAAGACTAGCAGAGCAACCCAACTTTACTCTGATCATCAATCAGCAGCAATACCCTAGTTGTCAACAAAGTAATGGCAATCTTCCCAGAATATCGCAGCCTACAAACAGCTTGTTCTGAATCCAGATTAAACTACGCCTTTCGTATGAACATTGGCAACGAGAACCTGGTCGTGCTAGTTCTAATGAAACGTAGCCTGCCAGCAGATGATACCAGTTACACTTTACAGTTAACACATGGCCCTGTTTTAACATAACAACAGTTTTGTTCCAATATCTACAGAGATAGTAACAGCAGTAGCAAGCAGCACCTTCGTCCGAGCCGTCTTCATGCTCCAGGCGCCGGAGCACGAGGCGGCCGTGGGCGTCGGCCTGCGCGAGCAGCGGCGCCGTAGGGCTCCACTTCATGTCGAAGACGCCGGCGGTCTCCACGGTGTGGAGCAGCCGGAGCCGTCGGGACTCGTCCTCCGCGCCGGCGTCGACGGAGAAGAGCGACACGGTGCCCGCGCGGTCCTGCTGCTGCTGCTGCTCCTCCCCCGCCTGCTCCTGCAGCGTGTACGTGGCGGCCGCCAGGACGTGGCGGAAGGGGCGGTGCGGGCAGAACTCCACCGCGTCGGCGTTGCCGCCGAGGTGGCAGGACCCCACGTCCATCCCCAGACCCTCGATTTCCCCCGGGATGCAGCCCTCGGCGGCGGCGGCGGCGGCGGCAAGGGTGGAGGGCTCCCAAATCGTTGAGCTTCACAGGCAGGGGCAAAAGAGTCAATGGCCATCAGTCAAACCTAGTCATACTAACCTATCCTAATCATGTGGCGGGGCGAGCAAACGGACACCGATGGGCACCTTAGCCGCGGCGATTCCCGCGACGACGACGGCGTCCAGGCACGCCGGCGGAAGACGACACCGCCGCCGCGGCTCCGTCGCCGTGCGCTGCTCGTCCGCGGCCGACGAGCGGCAGGCCCTCTTCAGCCGCATCGCCCCCGTCTACGACCATGTCCGTACCTCCCACTCCCCTCTCCTCCTTCCGCTGCATTGGCAAATACTGTACTGACGACAGCGCTGCGGTGCCGCGTTCCTTGCAGCTCAACGACGTGCTCAGCCTGGGGCAGCACCGGACGTGGAAGCGCATCTGCGTCTCTTGGTCAATGTACATCCCTAGTGCTAGTCGCAGTAGTAATGTGAATTCAGAAGACAACTGGTTGATGGGAATTTTTTGTTTTCTGAACATCAGGGCGAAGAGAGGGGATCGGGTTCTTGATCTCTGCTGCGGGAGCGGCGATTTGGCGTTCCTTCTGTCTCAGAAGGTCGGCCTAGACGGAGAGGTTGGTACTCTGCTGAAATGTCGGATTGACTTCAGGGTTCAGAACTTCAGAATAGCCAAGCAATTTTTTCGGGAGTTGGCAATCTTATGTTCCAACCTCTGAAATATCACAGGTGATGGGTGTGGATTTCTCAGGGCAGCAGCTGCAAACTGCTGCTAGCCGTCAGGACCAACGCTGGAAGGCTTGCTACAAGAACATCAAGTGAGCACCCCCAATGTGAGAGCTTGGGAATTTTGACGTTCCTGCTATTGTGCAGCTTTGTGAGGATATGCAGAATGTGCTTGTCTTTTGATCAGGCTAACAACTTATGTGGTTAGCTAAGACATGCTTTGTCGCAGATGGATCGAGGGCGATGCACTTGATTTACCTTTCACGGACCGTTACTTTGATGCTGTTACGGTTGGCTATGGATTGCGCAATGTGGTTGACAGACCCAAAGCAATGCGAGAGATCCTTAGAGTCCTAAAACCAGGTCGAGTGTATGGTTCAAATTCTGTTTCAGTTCAGCATGAGTTCTCATTATTTGGTTTTTCTGGACTGCAGGATCACGAGCATCTGTTCTGGATTTTAACAAGAGCTCATCATTTTTCACGGCATCCTTACAGGTAAACTTTCAGCCCATATTGGTACATGATACAGATGAATTGGTCTGCTCAACTTCCCTGACAAAGACTAATCATCCACTCTTCCACCATGGCATTCTAGCAAAATCACATGTTGGCTTCATGTCCCATACAAGACTTTGGAACAAATCCTACAATCTTCACTAACCAAAGTGATACTTTTCTTGGACAGAGTTGGGCGATTGATAATGTCGTGGTTCCTCTGGCTAGTAGCTATGGACTTACTGAAGAGTACAAGTACTTGAAAAGTTCGATATCACAGTATCTTACAGGTTTGAACATAACGTTCTCTGTGAAAACTTCCATGATACTGAAAATATGTCACATCATTAAGTAAAACATAATGTGTATAAGAACAATATTAGAATGCACCTAGAAAAAAGAGTAAAACAAGAGTGGTGTATCTCAAACCTTGCCACTCTGATAGCCCAAGTAGATCAACAGACATCTCAACTTGTCCTGATGGAGTACATTAGGACACCATCTATTTCCTTCACGCGCAAAGCCGTGACATTGTATAGATGTATATATCATTGTGTTTTTCTTTAAGAAAACAGTGAATTATTTTATTCCAAACAATGGAGTGGTATGTGCCATTTCACCGATGCCTATGTACTGCTTCACGATTTTATCACCCTCCCTTATTTACATCAAGCTTGTCTTTGTTTATCTGTTCTCCAGGAGAGGAGTTGGAGAAGTTAGCCAAGGAAGCAGGGTTTTCCTCAGCCAAGCACTATGAACTTGGTGGAGGGCTCATGGGAAACCTAGTAGCAACGCGCTGACTAGAAATGTAGCGATGAACGGTGATCTGTATGAATTATCTGAATTTTAATTTAAATAATTAATTTTCCTCTGCATTACCGAATATGCAGTTTGGCTGATACCAAACGGAACCAAGCAATGCTTCAAACCTCCCAGCTGTGCATTTCTCCTGCTTGAACAAGAAAACAGCACACCTACAGCATGGAGACATTCAGGTCACCATGAAATCACACCTACGGCATGTAAATCAAAATCACAGTTCTGAAGTACAGGCTGTTCAATCAAAGTCACGGTTCTGAAGTGCAGGCGCCACTGCGCATACCAGGTGTGCTGCTCTGCAACTTCTGAGCAATAAGACTGGCAATCGGGCATAAAAAACAAGCACCTCCTCGTCTTATTGGTGGAACTGGGGAGGCATGGGAATGATCAGGTGAGGACTTCAGGATCTGAATGTTTTCCCGTGAAGCGCACTGCTCTGAATTCTGAATCCTGTATCCTCTGCCCTCTGTTTATTCGGTCCCCATTTTGGCAGTTCAGATCTACACTGGAGTATTTATGTTCAGTGATTTTACCAGTGACTGATAAAACTTCTTCGGTTAAACTCGATCAACGACCCACCAAAATATTCACAGTAAAACACTAGTAACCGCCTACTAGGAGTCTAGCACCCAAAGGGTGATATGTATGAATTATCTGAATGTTAAGTTTGTTAATCCATTTTCCTCTACATTGCCTGAATATGCAGTTTTTGCTGATCCCGTACGGGACCAATGCTTCAAACTTCCCAGCTGTGCATTTCCCTGCTTGAACAAGAAAACAACACACCTACGGCATGTAAATCAAAATCACAGTTCTGAAGTACAATCATGGTCACAGCTTCTGAAGTGCAGGTGCAGGCGCCACTGTGCATACCGGGTGTGCTGTTCTGCAGCTTCTGAGCAATATGTCTGAAAATCGGAGGAAAAAAAAAAGCTCCTCCTCGTCTGATTGGTAATTGGAACTCGGAAGGCATGGAATGATCAGGTGAGAATTTCAGGTCCTGTTATTTATTTATTTCCGGTGAAGTGCGCACTGCTCTGAATTCTGAATCATGTATCCTCTGCCCTCCCCTGTTTATTCGGTCCCCATGTCGAGACAGCTGAGATCTACACTGGAGTATTTATGTTCAGTGATTTTAATCAGTGATTCTGGTCAAACTTCTTCGGTTAAACCCGATGAATGATCTAGCAAAACATTCGCAGTAAAACATGGTAACATAGTAGTAAATCCCTATTGGAAAACACAGAAGGTTCACAAGCTACAACGAATTCTTGGATCAATCTGGTAGAAACCATTGTCTTACAATTTCCTAGGCACTAGCTCTGCTAAACAATCTGGAGCAGCAAACAGAAAATAAGCAATCTCTCTTAATTAACACCCAAATTACTCTCAAGTCTCAACTAAACCAAGGACGGACCTATCAAAAACTTTTGACCACCCGCTCCGGTCCAGGCACATAGGGAGAGACCAATAACAAATTAAGCACCATATATATGTAGCTATATATATGTAGGTCGGCAGGGCACACACAGATGGACTAGTCCTACTGGCTAGCTACGTACGTAGCGTAGAGGTAGACGTGCTAGTTCCTGGTGTTGTCCATGGCGAGGATGGTGCTGAGGTTCATGGGGCTGATGTGGTCGGTGGTGCCGTGCATGAAGTTGGCGACGATGATCCGGTTGGCCCGCTCCGTGGGGTGGAAGGCGTCCCAGTAGGCGTACACGTCCCGGTTGGCGCACACGTTGGACGCCGGCGTGCACAGCCCGATCCCGTTGTACGGGCCCTGCCCGCAGCACGCGATCTTGGCCGTCGCGAACCCTGCGCATGCATGCATCGTTAATTTTTCTTTCTTTCTTTCTTTCACCGACCTGCTAGCTCGAGACCAAATGCGTACGTGAAAGAATTTTGTTTGATCGAGAGTTGGAGACCATACCGTACTGCTGCGGGTTGAACATGAAGTCGAAGCTGACCCTGTTGGTGTTGGCGGCGATGAAGACGTCGTCGTGGCCGACCTCGCCGTTGAGCTCCGTCAGCATCCGCTCCAGCTGCGGGTTGAAGAGGTCGGCGGCCCGCGTGAGGTCCGGCGCGCAGGACCCGTCGAGGCTGTGCAGGGCCAGCTCCGCCGGCACGCACCCGATCATCCCCGTCCCCGTCACGATCACGCGCCGGGCGCCCAGCTCGTACAGCCGCTGCACCCCATTCCATTGTTTCCACACACAGTCAGTCAGTCAGCTTTCGGTGTAAGAGCATCTCCAACAGACGCCCTAAACGACGCGCGCGCGAGGCGGTTTGCCGCGCTCCAGCGGCCGCGGGAAACAAGCGCGCGGCGGAACCATTTGCGCGCGCGCGCGAAAAGGCGCCAGCTCGCGCGCAAGATTTGGCGCGCCGCTTCGCGCGCGCCTGTAAAGCTGCGCGCCGCTTCGCCACGCGTTTCTCCACACTTCCTCTTCCCCTCTTCCTCTCCCTCTCTGCCACGCGCCGCTCCAGCGCCCCGTCACCGACGCGCCGCCATGCCGCCGCGCCGCCGAGGAGCGTCCGGCTACCGCGGCATCCGCCTGCGCCCCAACGGCTGCTACACCGCGGAGATACGTTCCGGCGAACTCCGGCTCGGCCTCGGCACGTACGGGACGGCGCGCGAGGCCGCCCGCGCGTACGACGCGGCGGCGTGGCGCCTAGGCCGGCCGCGCGGCCAGATGAACTTTCAAGATGTGTACACGCTCCAGCAAGCGCTCAACCTCGCCCCTCTGCCTCGTCTGAACACAGCGGAAGACCGTGCGGAGCACGCCGAACGGCAACGCCGCCTCCTCGTCGCCCAGGAGGACGAGCGGGTCATGGCGGAGTGGCGCCAACGCCACCCGAAGGACGTCGCCTACGAGCAGGCCTACTGGGCAAGGCGCCGCGAGGAGGACACGCGAAGGCGCAGCGAGACGCGGTTGGAAAGGCGTCAGCGGAAGGCGTTGGCGAATGCGCAGTCCGACATCGTTGCAGCAGGTGGGCAGTCGTTCTTCGCACCGAACGATGATCGGTGGCTGGACATCTGGCTAGACACCTCGGACGACACCGCCGAGGATGATAATGGTGATGATGATAGCGACTTAGAGTAGTTTCTATCTAGTTGCGCCGTAGTTTATCTATGCTTTCGAACTATCTACCTAGTTGCACCGATGTAAAATACCTTTGTATCATTTTTTATTTATGCAATCTATCTAGTTTTTATTTTATCCATGCGTTCGAAAATTAAAAAAAATGTTGTGTGTGTGCTGCATTTTTTACGCGCTGTTGGAACGGCGCGCGCGCTGTATTTTAGCGCGGCTGCTGGAGCGGGCCGCGCCAAACCAGACGATGGACGCGCGCTAAAGCTGTTTTTTGCGTGCGCCGCGGTGGGCGCCTGTCGAAGATGCTCTAAGACAACTTAGACTTAGACAAGACAAGCAGCTCGCGCCGTTGCATCTTGCATTGCATTGCATGCATGACCCCCCAACCCCAACCCAAGCCTCTACCCACGCCACGGCCTACACGTAGCTGCAACGAAGCATGCATGGACGCACACGAAGACGTACGAAGGTGCATGCACGGTCTGTGGAGCGCCACAGTTGTTGCATGTGGAGGGGTAAATGCATCGTGACAAGGGTACAAGTACTACGTGCAACAGTGGACAGTACTAAAACGCGAGCCTGCTGCTCTTTTACTGCGGAGAGAGAAGAGAGTGTGTGCATGCGTGGCAGACGAGAGTGGTTTTGTACTACGTGGTGCGCGCGTGTGTACCGTGTACTGGGCTGCTGCCCACTGCTTGGCCTATATTGATTGCCTGGGCAGAGTGGTTGGTGGCAACTTCCAACATGCATGCATCGCATCCAGACGATCCCACGATGACGAGACATACTACCCCAGCCCTCCCTCCCTACGGTAAGAACTGAGTTTTCTTGGTTGGCAAACTCGGCAGGGCAGTGCCAAATGTTTAGGCCTGTTGTCACTGGAGCCTATGAACGAATCATAAATGTCAAGGTGCACCAATGCAAAGAGATCTGGTACTACGAGCCAGCCTTCATTTCCTTTCAATGTAGGAGTACTCTGTAGCTCTACGTAGTAATGTAAATATCGCGGTACTTTGGAGATACTGTGGGTGGAACATTTCCTATCGCTGTTTAACAGTGTTGTTTAAGCGTTCCCGTAGCTCTTATTAATTTGATGATGCCTAATCTCTAGCTGTGCATTATGAAGTATGAGTACTAATGACAGTGAAAATGAACTATGTTCGTGAGTGTTCTTTACTAGCAGTACTGGTGTGCTCAAGTGCAAGCTTAACTGTACACTATGTTTGGGTTCAGCCTCCACAGTGAAGATGTCCCAACAGTTACTGAAACTAGCCATCAACCATGAATAAAAATCGTCTCTCGCTTCATGGGCTAACTCTTGCCAGAAATAGTGTGCTTCTGAATTCGGCGTGCAGAACACTACAGGCCGCGTGTCAGTTTATCGCTTGCTGAACGTACTACCCAAAAATGACTCCACTACGAACAAATGTTCACCGGTGCTACCGCCCATCTCCCTCGCCATCATATCAGGCAGGCAGGCCACCATCATATCAGGCAGGCAGGCGGGCAGCCTACAGACTCATCTCTTTCCACTACTGTTCTAGCTACCATGAAGCAAAGCATTTCGTTTCCCTGTCTAATTTTGGAAACTTTTAGGCCTACCACTATTGTGCACCATACTGACAAAATACAAGACAAATAACGTCCCGACATTTTTTCACCTTGAATGCTAATCATGTCTTACAAATGCAAGCATGTTTTGGAGCAGAAATTATGTAGTATGTTTTTCTTGGAATTAATTAGTGGTAAGTAAGTGAAGCATAGTTACCGCGAGGACTTTCTTGTACTCGGAGATGATGAAGGGGACGTAGTCGTGGATCTCGAACTGCTGGGACCTGGCGGAGAAGGGCACCAGGTAGTAGTTGTTGACGAAGTCGTTGCCGCCGAGGGTGATGAGCACCAGCGACTGGCTCACGCGCTCCCTCGCCGCGTCCTCGCCGATGTACGCCGCCAGCCTCCGCTGGTAGTCCTGGAAGTTCTGCAGCTGCTGCGCGATCCTGATGATGTTCACCTGCACGCACGCACACAGCATTGTCATCTCCGTTGGTTGCATTATTATAGATACCGTGCTAGTACATGATTCAAGCGTGCGTGCGTGCGTGGGAGCTTACGAATTGGACGCCTGTGTCGTTGAGGATGCCGACGCCGGCGGACGCGAAGTTGGCGCCGACGAGCAGGTTCTCGCCGCGCATGTAGGGGCTCAGGTACGGCAGCGCAGGCTCTGCCCCGAGGTACTCGCCTGATCAAGCATGTGGCAATGTCAAGAACTGCTCGATCTCTCGACAGATTAACGAAAGAGAGAGAGGCATGCTTTGATTAGCTGAGCTAGATGTGAGAGGAGGCACGCTGGAGACGTACTGATGATGTCGGGGATGTTGAGGCCGTTGGAGAACCTCCCCGTGGGCATGTGCGTGGGGAAGTCGATGCCGTAGGGCGGCGCGTCCGCGCGCGCCGTCGTCATGAGGTAGTTGTTGTTGCCGTTGTCGACGAGGGAGTCGCCGAAGACGAAGAAGGCCCGCGCCGCGGACGCCGTCGGCGCCGAGGCCCCGAGGAGGACGAGGAGCAGCGCCCCGACGACGAGGACCGGAGAGCAAGCGTCCATGGCTAACTCGCCAGAGAGGACCTGGGCACGACGACTCGTGTCGCGCGACTAGTGACTATGGGACTGGCGAGCTCCAGTGGGTGGCTGCGACTTGGCAAGGCGCGCACGTCGTGGACACGAAAGGTGGCGAGCGGCCTCTGCCTCCTCTTATAGCGGCCAGAGGCCAGGCTGAACTCTCACTAGCTGTCTCGCAACCGCAACCTCACTCAGAGCGCCGAGTTAAGGAGGCCGGACGGACGGCAGTGGGTAGGGTAAGTGGGTTAGCGGGCGGGAGACAGCTAGCTTGGCTGGCTAACTAGGACCACCCGAAACGGATCGCGTTAAATGAGGCGAAAGCGGGTCGATGGATGGTGCGGTGGTTGGGGGCGCTAAATGCGGCGCCTTGGCGTGCGACGCCGGCCACTTGGCTCCCGCTCTCCGCCGTCGGCTCTCCTGCCTCGGATCACGTGCCGGCCTTGCGCGCCATGGGGGCGCTGGCTGCCTATTATTGCCCGGAGGCTACAGACAGATCGGCTCATCTGATCGACTTGAGAGCCGGCACGGCGCCGGAATGGAAGGCCTCCTCGTCGCAGTCTTTCAGAAAATTCAGACGGCGCAGGCCCGGCCGGGGTGTCAACCCCTCGTTGTTTTTCTTTTCTTTTCTCGTTTCTCCAACTCATGAGTCATGAGTATCTCGTCTACTGTAGTCTAGCTAGAAAAACATTTGCACCCATGCACGGATCATAAGATGATGTTCTTGTGATGAGAGTGACATCGGATTCTATCTGTTTGGAGAGACTCGATCGGGCTCTTGCTAGTTTAATTGTCTGATGACGGTCTATGTGTGCTCCAGTGCACTTGTTATTACTTCTAAATGGGGATATGGAGCACGAACAGCTTAATCTCAGTACTGCCGGCAAGAAAATGGCGTGTACTACTAAGTATGAGTGCTCCCCAATTAAACCCATGCATGTTAGGGTATCTCCAACGCGCATCACGAAAACACCTGCAAATGTCTGGATTTGGTCGTCTCTGGACACTTTTAGCCATTCAAAACGGATCATCAAATCAGGACTAACTGGTCCGGATGTCCGGAATCCCATAGACCGACCCTAAATCAGGGGAGCTCCGGGGAGTCCGGACATCCACCTTGACGGACTTCAACTCTCCAGACCCACCCCAAAAGCCCACCTGAAGCCCCGGTATTTTCACAAATCCTGCCCTTCTCTGCCCGTCTTGGCTTACGCAACCACTGCACTCCGTCGGATCCAGACGCCACCCAGGTACCCCTGCTCCTGCCGACAACATCCATGGCAGACACTGTGCACAACAACTATTCATTCAAATGTCATAGTGAAATTTCTTGACGTTCTTGTTTTTTTTACTTTGAAGCAAACATGATATATATATTATGATGAGGAGTCGAAAGCGGGTCGGTGCATGGACCGGGAGACACACTATGGTTGGGCGCTAAATGGGGCACCTTGGCGTGCAACGCCGGCCACTTGGCTCTCACTCTCGAGTGTCGGCACCTGCCTCGAATCACGTGTCGGCCCTGCCGCCGCCTATTATTGCGAGGCTACAGACAGAGCGGCTCATGCTCATCTGGTCGGTTTGAGATCAAGCACGCACAACGGCGAAATGGAGCTCTCCCGGAAGAGAAGGCCTCATCCTCATTGTTAGACTATGTAACTGTATTACTTATAGCTTCTGTATACCTAACTGTGTATGGTTAGGATTTGTACTTTGTACCTATGTACCACCAATATATATATAAGTCACGCCACCCCTAGAGGGCTGTGCGATTCACCAAAAGAAGTTTACGTCTAATATGGTATCAGCTTAGTTACGATCGTTGCTTCCGCTACTGCCACGATCGCATCTATGGCCTCGGTGCCGGCCGCCGCAGTTGCGATTCCTCCCGCGCCGACCGCCGTTCCAGCTGCCGGCCTCGCTGCCGCCACTCCGGCCGTCCCGGCCTCTCCGTTTTTGGCTTCTCCGCCGCTGCTTTCCCTGGCTGGCGCCTCCATGGCTGCCACCGCACAGGGCTCCGCCGTGCCACCGTCTCCGGTCTTCAGCGACTCCGCCGCTCAGCCGCCGGCAGGCTCCTACGGCGCCGCCGTCCCATCTGCATCGTACGGTGCCGCTCCAGCCGCCAGTCACCAGGGCGCTATCCCGCATCTGTATGGAGTCCCGCCAGCAGGCTCCTACGGCGCCGCTCCGTATACGCATCACCAGCGCGCCGCCCCGTATCTCCATCAGCAATCCGGCTCGGGTGGCGTCCCGCCTCTGCACTCGGACCTGCATCACCAGGGCGTCCCGTCTGTGCCCTACAGAGCAGCGCATCCTCATCAGGGCGCTTCGTCCCTACAACAGCCGCCGGTGGCCGGCTCTTATGGCGCCGCGCCGGCTAGTCAGTGGCCGGCTCCCTCTCCGCTGCAGCAGTCCTATGGCCACGCTGCTCCGTTGGCCTATGCCTACCCGCCAACCTCGGTGCCTGCGTCTCCTTATGGCGCGCCCTACGGCGGTGCATCGACAGAGCTGGTGGCTTCGTCCGTCGTGCCGAGTGGTCCTTCACCCCCGGTTTTTTATGCGCCGCCGCCGCCTTCGGATTATGGTGTATCTCATGCACCGTTCTACTTTCCGCATCTCATCCCGGTGAAGTTGACGACGAATAACTATCTGTCATGGCGTGCGCAGGTCTTACCACTTCTCCGCAGTCGTTACTTGGAGGGGTTTGTTGATGGCACTCTGTCGTGCCCGCCGCCATACCATCCGGGGCATCATGCATGGGTGGCTCAGGATCAGGCCATCCTCTCTGCCATCCAGTCCTCTCTTACGAAGGGGGTCTCATCACTGGTCATCTTCGCCTCTACGTCTCGGGACGCATGGACGGCTCTTCACACCAGTTTTGCTTCGCAGTCTCAGGCGCGGGCTCATGCCATTCGCACTGCGCTTGGGGAGGTGAAGCTTCATGATCTCACCATCACCGACTACTTCAACAAGGTGAAGGGTATGGCTGACACATTTGCCTCCATTGGCAAGGCGCTTGGTCCGGAGGAGTTCACTTCCTATGTCCTCAACGGACTGAGTGACGACTATGATAATTTGGTGGAGAATATCAATGGTCGTGACACTCCCATCCAGCCACGAGAGTTGTACGCACGTCTTCTTGCTACGGAGCAGCACATCCAGGCTCGCCGGTCTACGTCGAGTTTTCCTTCCGCCAACGCTGCAACACGTGGGAAGGGCAAGCCCTCCAAGCCACCAACGGGTGGCAAGCCTCCGCCGACCGTGCCTAATTGCGGAACACCACTACCTTGACAGGAGGTCGAGTCTGTGCCTGTTGCCCTTCATGTGGTGCTCAGATTCCCTGCCAGCTATGTGGGCTTGATGGTCACCTTGCCTCTCGTTGCCATCATCGCTTCAAGCAGGATTTCTTGGGGCTTGGGAACAATGGCAAGGGCAATGAGAAGCAGGCTGCCCTGGCGACTCATGAGCAGGGGCATACTCCTTCTTACCCAGTTGATGCATCTTGGTACATGGATACGGGGGCTACCAATCACCTGACGAGTGAGATGGGCAAGCTCTCTACACAGGAGCCGTACCGTGGACACGATCAGGTTCGCACCGCTAATGGGGAAGGTATGCACATCTCACATATTGGTCAGGCATCACTTCTTACACATCGATCCAAACAATTACGTCTTCTTAATGTCCTTCGTGTTCCCTCTGTTTCACGTAGTTTGCTTTCAGTTCCTAAACTTACTCGTGATAATAATGTTCTTGCTGAATTTCATCCTTTTCATTTCTTTGTCAAGGATCGGGACACGAGGGACGTACTTCTTAGAGGTCGACTACGCAATAATGGTCTTTATGCGCTTGATGTGCCACCAGCTCCCAGTGCCTTCAGTGGTGTTCGTGTGTCTCCATCACATTGGCATGCACGCCTTGGTCATCCTGCCACTCCTATCGTTCACCATGTACTTCATCGTCATGAGCTTCCAGTTGTGTCCAATAAACATGTTGATGCAGTTTGTGATGCCTGTCAGCAAGGCAAGAGTCATCAGCTTCCTTTTTCTGAGTCGAGTCGTGTAGTCCATAAACCGCTTGAACTTGTGTTTTCAGATGTATGGGGCCATGCTCAAACCTCTGTTAGTGGCCATAATTACTATGTCAGTTTTATTGATGCTTACAGTCAGTTCACTTGGCTTTATCTTCTTAAACGCAAATCTGATGTGTTTAATGTTTTCTTGCAATTCCAAGCGCATGTTGAGCGTCTGCTCAATCACAAAATCATTCATGTGCAATCAGATTGGGGGGGTGAGTATCACAACCTCAACGCATTCTTTAATAAGCTTGGAATCACACATCGTGTGTCTTGTCCTCATACACATCAGCAAAATGGTGTAGCCGAGCGTAAGCATCGCCATATAGTTGAGACTGGTCTTGCTTTGCTTGCCCATGCCTCGGTTCCTTTCCGGTTTTGGAGTGATGCGTTTTCCACTGCATGCTTTCTTATTAATAGACTTCCTACACGACTCCGTCAGATGAAAACACCACTTGAACTCTTGCTGAATGAAACTCCTGATTATACTTTTCTCAAGGTCTTTGGGTGTGCGTGTTGGCCTCAGCTTCGTCCATATAACCAACGCAAGTTGGAGTTTCGGTCTAAACAGTGCGTGTTTCTTGGTTATAGTTCTCTTCATAAAGGGTACAAGTGTCTTCATGTTCCCTCTAACTGCGTCTACATCTCTCGTGATGTGGTGTTTGATGAGAATGTTTTTCCTTTTTCTGCACTTCCGGCCACCTCCACCACTCCCACTACACCTGAGAACTCTACTTTACCTTTGCCTGTCCAATTTGTAGATGCTGCATATACTCCCTCGTTGCTACCTAACCATGGTGCAGGTATTGGGCGAGGAGCGCGCCTTGAGCTCCTTGATGATTCGTCGCCTGTGGTCGCTCGGGAACTCGATGGAGGGTGTCCAGGGAATGTTTCTCCTGTGCATGGCACATGC